AAGGGTACCTAATATCTCTCTTTCAAATACGCATAAAAAGGTTGATGTCTATCCGTCATGGTAAACAGATTGGCAAACAATCGCAGCTAAAATAAAATATGTAAATTATATAGAACATTATAACCAGAAAACTCTGCATCATTTGTGACGAGACTATACTAGATAAAGAAAGAGTAGTGCTGTTGTAATAAGGCAGCCAAAAACACAATTCTAGTCTGACAGGAAAGTAGGCAAAAACGAATTGTAATAAAGATATGAACACATCTTTACGGTAAAAAGTATTCTTTATCTATTACGTTGAAGTACCTTTTCTTGGTAAAATGGAGCTAATTGACGGTAAGATTCGAAAATAGCAATAATTTGATGCTTGCAGTTGCAAAGGAGGATATTTAGGATAGTCTCATTATAGTTCTAATGATCATCAAAAAAGTTACTAATGAAACAGTGGTTTACTAAGCGATATAGGGGCACAGTTTTATGGCTATCACAAAAGTGGTAGGAATTGTCAACCAAATGTAATATCATACAAAACATACCTCAGCCAAGCTAGACGTTAAAATTTCCAAGAATTTCCATACAATAACTCTAGAATACTTTACCACGTTACTACCTATAGATGAAATTTGTTTTAGTCAATACGAGTGATTTAGAACGTTAATGTATTTGTAATAAAGATGCATTGTCCATACACTAGCTCTAAAATACTTTATCACCTTACTAGCTATAAATGGAATTTCTATTAGTAAATACTAACAACTTTACAACGTTAATATATTTTCAATAAAGATACATTGTCTCACACAACAGCTCTAAAACACTACCTATAGATGAAATTGCTTTTAGTCAATACTAACGATTTTTAGAAAGGTAATGCATTATCTGTAAAGATACATGGTCTACACAACTACTTTAAATTACTTTGTCACATTACTACAAATCGATGAAATTTCATTTTGCGAGCAATAACGATTTAAGAAGGTTTATACATTTCCAATAAAGACATAGTGATACTGCATTAGTTTTTAAGTACCAATACAAAGCGGATTTGAACTTTTAGCGTTAGATTGCTGTGATCCTTAATAAGAATATACACTTACCATCATCATCATAACTAGACGAATGTTGTACTTCATCCAAGGTGAAATTAGCAAGGGATGCATCTTCGTCTAGAAAATTTTTAAAAGATTGAAGCAGTATTTACAATTTAAACACAAGATTCTCTTAACTTGATCAAATGTATACCTTTTGCAGGAATAGTTTTTAAAATGGCAAATTTCAAAAATTGGAATGTAGCAGTTAGGAATTCTGGAGCTTTCAGTCATTAAATAAGCACGATTTTGTTGATTAATTATAGAAAGCGCCAACTTTATGCAGATATATCTAATAAAAATAGTTGAATTACTCTTTTTATTGCCTACCTTCAATATAATACTTTAATACCAAGTGATGATGTAATGTCATCATAACATTAATAATTGACAATATAGCTGTTAATGTGGAATAAAACTGTAAACTGGAATCAGCGGATTGACCGTATCCAATCATGAATTGGCAAATCAAAGATATAGCCGTTTCATTTTCCACTGCAAGAAAGACACATTAGCTCCATTACAAAATAAATTTTGATTTAAAAGCAAATACCTAGCTTACTGCTATCAATAGAAAATGGATGAAGAGGGCCTACTTACCTAAAGCCGTAACTCCTCTGTTCTTACTACTAATTAATTGCATGATAAGAAAAAGGTTCTCCTGAGACCTTGTATCCCCACTACCAAGAGAGCAAAGAATTTTTGCTTACTTTCGTAACATATCTTAATCACAGTAAAAATCTACGTAACAGAAAGGATCTTCCATGAACTGTAAATTCAATTACTTTAACTGCTTTACAGCTTCGCATAAAGCATCTAAGAGTTGCGGTTTTGCCCACTGCGTTAGCAGTTGATCGTCTTCATACAGAATTTCATAAGTTAAGCAACAAGTGCTTCTTAGCAAGTCATCTAGCGACAAAATAAGTTAATTCCTTTGAAAATTTTTTACCATATTAGGAGCTGACCAGCTTTAATCAAGAAAAAATATAGATCAAATATAATTTTAGAAGAATAAAATATCTTTCAAACTAGATATACTTACTATTAACTGAACTTGCTAAAATAAATGTAATAGAATCGTAGATAATCACATTTTCTTTTATAGTTACTAGCCACTTTTCTTTTGCGTTAGGACATGAAATGAAACTTCTAATTAGCCTGTAAATTGTGGTCCATTTTTTACAATAACAGAGACTTTTAGTATAGAAATAGCTCCGGCAATAGTAAGTTGATATGTCCGTTAGCGTAACTCATAGTACTACTGCATATTGCATGATACGTGTACAACTTAAATTTATTGTATTTAGTTCCCTTCACTTAATCAGCCTATCTCGAAAATATAGTATTAGCAGGTAGATATTTACCTTATAGACTCTAAAAGTATTGGTGGATCAGGTGATTGCAGCAACATAGGTATTATCAGGCTAAATAATTATCATAGCAATTGTTAGTGTACAAATTCACTTAGTAGGTAATGTACAGTAAAAGAGTTAATACTTCTTAGTAGGCTAATAGATGTCATGTACTATCTTACGTACAAGATTTCCTCGTAAAGAGTCATTTGAAAGCAAACATTTCTGTGACATGCCATATTGGCTAGAATGCCTACGCTAATCTCCTATAATTGCAATACAAGCAATAACATAGTAACATGAGCTAATGTATACGTACATTGAAGTATAATAATTAATTACATATATCATTACGGTAATAGTATTTTGATCACTCAGAAGAAAAGTTATGAGTGTAGTATTGCAAGGCAATTTAAAATTGGAGGATTACCCTTATGACTTCTTAACTAAAATCTCTACTATTACCACGTTACGGTTAGCAATATTCAATTTTTTATATTTTTACATCAGATCGAATTTGATTATCTAAACAAGCAAAGATCGGGTACTGTACTGCATTGATGAAAATGTGTACCCAACTTCTAGCAATGCGTATGGCATACTCGTATATTTATATACACTTTGCACACACCGTTAGTCTGGCGGATTTCGATTTCACAATAATAGCAATAAGTATTTGGAGTATACCAATTTCCAGAAGATAGTTGGCAACATGCTTGTTGACGTACACACACAAAAAGATAATAAATAAGATTACACTAGAATCCTTATAAACAATAATGTAAGAAGACTCCTCTTTATACAACTCATTCAATTTTATGATAACTTAAAATGTAAACAATTTAATCACATTGGAATATGCAGCAATTAAATGAAAATAACAGCTCATGTACAACGTAGCTCTGACTTGATCACGTAAGCTATTTTATGTAACCATATGAAGTTATCGAAAAGCTGGCTTCTATGGTAGTCATGTTTCTGATGGTTGAACTTGTTGCTCTCTAACAACAATGTTATTTGTTGGGTAATACGAGTACAAGAACTTAAAAAAACTTAATATTACAAACATTGTATGCGTGTGCAGTATATTATTAACTAACTATGAGTAAGAACGAGACAACACTAATTATTGCTTTAAGCGTACATTTAGCTCTATGTTAAACTTGGACTAATGGTTACGAGCAATCTGATAGCCGAGCGATATAAGCGTACACAGTTACAATATACCAAGGCAGGTGCGTTTTACACAGAGGTAGGTTATTTTTATACTCAATGGACACTACTTAAGTAGATTTAGCTGGCTCGATTGCTAGCCCAAGGGCTGAGGCAAGGTAGTAACTCACTGTAAACACTTCATTTTGGCTTAGATTACTTTGCATACCGAGTAGATCAGTCATGAGTTGCAGAGACAATGCATTGGAGTATTTCATTACTGAGCTTTACTTACTATATCGCTTGACATATCCCAAAGTTTACATATTTCTTCATCAAATGCAATACAAAGATTGCCATCATTTTCAATTATGCAAGCAGGCATAGGTATTTTAGTGCTGGTTGCTTGAGACGATGAATCAGCACCATGATCGATAGGTTGCTGTTGATGAACGTCTTCGTTATCTTCACGATTTAAGTGGTTGATTAACTCTTTCAGTAACGAGGTAACCCATAGTTGGCTATAGACCGTATCGCCGATTGCATCCGATATAGCTTGAAGATGATGGACATCAGGGTCATCACTATCAGGTGGTGGCGGCGAAGGATTTCGATTCGCTGCCATGTTGAACAGACGAATGGACACTATGATGCAGTATTATGCGTACATATCTATCCGATATCAATAACAAATAAATCAATGTTACTTCATTCAATCACTACGATAATAGCGATCTGGAAGATGATAATTGGATCTAGACTAGCCTACAGTAGCTCACTACTTACAATATCATTACTTTTGTAACGATGATATTTCCAGACCAATAAATACTATCATGACATTATTGCACCACCCATTAAAATAGAGGTTGCACAATGTTTCCTGTTACTTTTTAAGCTTAATTTAAGCTACCGTGTTGTGAATTATGGCTGCTTATGACCTTACGACAACGGAATCTGTTCAAGAGCATCCATGAAATAATGCTGCAATCAATCTGATTGATCCTCAAGTGTACAGTGTGCAGTACTGTAGCTGTATTGACTGTGTTGACTGACATTCTACACTGTACAGTACGGTAACCGGACTCTGGAGTTTGGACGGTAGCCAAGCAAACGGTTGGCCTTTGTTCTGCAGGTCACGTGGTTTGCTAGCTCGCGTTTTGTTTTCTATTTTGAAGTCAGCATATTTATGCACCAACTGCATACATATTGCATCCATTGGGGCCTGAGAATGGGCTAGATTGCAGTTTCCACATCAAATACTCATGAATTTTTTATATATTAATTGTCAAAATTAAATGCAAAGGTTGCTGTGGTGACATATCACTGCAACACTATTGAAATTGTAGTGATAAGAACTTCGAAGTACAATATCAATCGATACCTCCATAACATGTATTGATCATGGATGGCTAAAGAGCAGCAAAAACCCACGTGGACCTTAACGAAAACAAGTCTTCAGGTGATGAATGCAAGATGTCCAAGGACGCCGAGGTCGTCCCAGCAGATCCAGCGATCATTCAGAAAAATGAAGAGGAAACTCGATGAGCGAAAGTTGTCAAAGCATATACGTTTGATAGATCTGAACGTTGCAAAAGCTGAAGTTCTGGATAAATGGGTAAGTATAGATGGCTACTGCCAGGATACAAATATACACAGTATAATATAATAATTGCAGCATTGCAATGAGTAAATGCTATTACATTTCAATATGAGCTAATTTTCGTCGACTTTTTGCGTTCAACCATTTTTATCTTTTTTATATATAACATATATACAATGAACTTTGACTGCAGTCTACGGATATGATACGCCGTACTAACCTCAAGCTGGTCAAAACATTAAAATTAAAAAATACACTACAGTATAAGGCTGAGTATGCGGCTTAGTTATGCAGTGTTGGTGTTATTCTCTATGAAGCTCATATAATACTCTGATCGAGTATTTTATAGCATCTACATTCTGCAACAACTACAAGAAATTACCTTATAATTCCGTATAAATACAGTGCATAAATGTGATAGCATTCAGCTTACCTTTTTATATCCAGTGCAAAACGAGCTCGTAACTACAGTATTTCTTATTACTACTTACCGTATTGGTCAACATGTTGATGAACATTACTACTAACCTACACTGTGCTGTACGTACTGTACAATGTACATCGTGGATGTACACAATATCAGGTTTTACTCATGCTAAGTTTCACGGTTACAATGTACTGCAATATAATTTATTTAAAGAGTCATAGCCAAATTTAAAATTGGTAATTTATTTATTTATTTTATTATGATAGGTGTCTCCTCAATTTGATCGCAAAGCTCCTTCGAAAGTTCATAATCGCAAAAAAGTCAAGTTCAGAAATTGTAGCAAATTTCGTACTAATGCAAGAAATAGAACATTTCGATTTCGCAATACTATGACACCATCCAGACTGAATTTTCAACCTACGTACAAACAAAATACTGATACAATGTTAGATTCCAACTTTGATCCTGAACTATCTAGTTCGCAAAGTCGACGAATCAACGATCAGGACTTATCACCAATTAAAAGTGATCATGATGGTAGTAATTCACTACAGTCATGTTCTACATGTACATCATTAATGATGCATAATGAGGATGAAGGAGACAACCAAGAAGATATAGTTTTAGTCCCAGCAACACCATTAAGTTCGTATAAATACCGTTGGACTACACGATCAATATTTCATCATAATTAATTTGTAACAACTTAAGAATCAAAAGTCATTTAAAATTTTTTTATGCATTTACTCCTAAACAATGATAATTATATTATAATTATCTTTAAAAATGTTAAAATAGTCTAATATTCAATACCAAAGATGCAATGTATAGAAAAAAACTGATCAACTACTTGCTAATCCTATTGTAAATATGAACTTTGTAGCTTATTTTGTTATAAAACCTACTAATATGTTATCATACGCATATTAATGAATTATATACATATTGCTTTATTTTACAAATGACATTTTTAAATTTTGTTTACGCGTACAGTACAGTACATGAATTACGTGTTTTCACGATATCCTTATTTTAGATATCGTGTCATTGAATTTACTCATATGCCTCTTCAATGAATAAACATAATTGCTGTATGCTTTTATCAGACTTGGGTTTATCCAATGACGTAAAATTAACGGCATACGGCATATGTACATATACAATAATCAGCAAAAGTATGTTGACAAACAAAATGTCAGTTGCAAGCAATATGCTATTTGCTATACTCTGGGCAATTGGACAATCGTTAAGTTCAATTTCACAGAAAATTTTGTCGTATCAATTAAACATCCGCACCGTTTCAAATTTCGACATCGGGCCTGGGTGAAGTAATAAGGGTTCCCTATTTGATTAATTAGTTGTACCGAAATTTAACACGAATGAAAAGTTTTCTTGCGGAACTTTATTGTAACCATGCAATATATAATGTAACAATTTCTTTAATTAAGTAACATGTGATGCTAAGAATACATTTGCATCCAACTACTAAATAGACCGGCTTGTTAGAGTGAACGGTAAAATAGAACTAGTTGTATGAATTCTAATGTTAATGGCTACACGTGTACACATAAAGATACTTAACACAAAATAATGTACAGAAAGTGTGGGTACAGCTAATTACGTACAACTACTGTAAGTGCATAGATGCTGACTACTATCTGAGTAAATGAAAGTAAATTGTGAGTGCAGATGGCAACTACTACAGTACTAAGCAAATAGGTGAACATTTGTCACTTCAAGCAATCTACGCAATGATCGTATTTCTCGGTTAATGTAACTTTTATTGTATACTGTAATTATCAAGTACTGTATATAAGTACAAGCGTTTAGAATCAAATAACCCAGACGTCATTAAACCCTATATACTCGCATTATATACTGTACGCAACATATATAATTATTTTTATATGTTAGATATACTGCATGAATATTTAAATTTTAATCATCGTCATCGTCGCCTACAATACGTAACTGCCCTGATTCATCGTTGTCAGAGCTATCGGAGATATCTGAAATCAGCTCCTTCGAAATAGCCTTTCGTCTTTTTCTAGTTGGCATTTCCTTCTTCACAGATGATACCGTACGTTTTCGTGATCGCTTTTTCGTTCGAACTCTCTTATTTGTTCCACTATTACTGCTATAAGCAAAACATTATGAGTTCAGCGAACTTTACTATTAACAAGATGCTAACTTATATTATGAAGTACCATTTGGACTCTCGCGCACTAATGACATCTTCATTACTACCTTCATTGGTTAATACGCCATCATCTTGCTTCTTAAAGATAAATAGTTTGGTAACATACAACCGCTTTCAAGATCAAATAGTAAACTGTAATCAATCCTGAATAAAGTTTTGAATATATTACCGTAGAACGGCGATCAGAACCTTTCTCGATATTGTCTTCAAAAATCAGCAGCTTCTTGGTTGCTTCAACATATTGATTACGTTGCTCATTGATTACTCGAGTCTTCGCTTCCATTTCACATTGACGGTGCAGCTTTACACATAAATTGTTTCAGTTAACCCTTAAACAGTTAAAAAACATAGCTTGGGTAATGTATGAAACATATCCTAATCAACCTCATCAGTTTTTCTTTTCTCGATAGAAGCTAGGTAATTTTCTTCATATTTTCGGATTAATTCCAGCTCTTCTTTCTGCCTCGTGCTGGCTCTGGTAACGTGATACTGAGCTTGACTTAATAGATCCGAACAGTGGCTGTAATCATACATTCAGAACAGACTTATTTTTCTTAGTACCAGCGGCATCTTTATTGGGTTGGAGAATTATTAAAATTGCATTTGAGCATTACCGAGATTCTGCCGTAGCCTGATCAAGATCGAACTTCGTTTTATCTCCCGTTTCACCCAAAAAAGTGAAATACCTGATACAAAGGATGCCACTTACTAATAATTACTAACTCTATCGGTTACTAAATAAGTCCTACTTGTGAGCTAATTTGAGTTGTTCAATAGCTTCCTTGATATCTTCAACTTGGTTATACTCATCCTCCAACACTACGACTGCCATACATTGCAAGACTAAGCAAATGTTAAACAGGAGTAAAGTTTCTTGCGGTGCGATATGGAAGGCCTTAATAGCGTAATAAAACACGTATTTTACAAGGGAAGATTAAGTCATCTATACCTACAAAATATGCATTACCCATAGACTAAAGATTTGATACCTTAACAAGAATCCTGTTACAATTTTGTAATCTACCATCCTTAAAGTATGCTCTAGCTAGATATAGCAGTACTTCCGTATTTTGATTCATGCTGAATCTCTCAATACAGCTTCGATACTATAGTGATCATGTAACAGGAATAAATAATTTCGATAGTGATAACGGTCCTAATCTAAACTTCGACAACTATCGATCTCGATGCTAATACTTAATCATACCATTTGGATCGCTATTGAATACTGCTGTTGTTCGGTATAAACATGAGCGAGATTTAGCCATACGTCGAACATGTCGGCAGTAGCTTCGCGGACCTATTAAAAGTACAGTAATACATTGTATATTAACTTCAAAACTTTGTAAACTTATTAAATTACAAATCAATAATTCTATATTAATCTACCTGAGCAAAAATTTCTCGAGATTCTTGATGAAAACTACTCTGTGCTAATACGGCACCGATACCATTAGCGGCATAAATATTTCGTGGATCGAGTCGAATTACCTGCTTATATAGACTCAACGCGCGATCGCGATGACGTCTATTCTAGTATAATATAAAAAATAAGTAACATCAATATGGCTCTTATTAAAATACAGTAGGTATTAATATTTCATTACAACTCGCGATTTTTAAAACCTTGTCTGGGTCCTTTGTAGGTTGATATAATGTCTGTAACCATATATTTCCCATAGCTACAAGACCGTAAGTATCGTCTTTGTTTTGATTTAAAATACGCTCGTACTTTTTCTGGGCCGGACCCCATTCTTGCTTCATCATGTGTAAATTTCCAATTAAAGACCATGTATCTTTATGCTCCCTTTCTATAACAAGTGCTTCGGTGTACCAATCTGAAGCTTCATAAAAGTGACCCTTATCGCGAGCCATACATCCCAATCGAAGATAACAATCGATATAATTAGGATGATCTTTAAGGATTTGCTTATATAACTTTTCTGCTTCATCATGTTCACACAATGCTTCGTGTAAACGAGCGACGTTATATGTTATAGTAACTGATATAGTATTGAAATAAGATGAACCTTCGGTTGATTCGTTTGCTTCTAATTTAGCTCGTTCCAATGCGGCACTAAAGTTTTTCATAGCTTCTAAAAAATTACCTAGCCGGAAGTGTAATGCAGCTGCATTGTTTAATATTTCTGGAGGTATATCGGTTTCAAGAGTCTCTTGTAAAAGTCGTGAAGATGTACCATATGCTGAAAGTGCCCCTTGAATATCTGAACCTTCTAGTATACCTGCTAATTCAATCCAAGCTTCTATGTCGTCAGGATGTTGAGTGGTTGCTTTTTGTAATAAAATTTTAGCTCTTTCTCGCTTTTCTTCGTTATTAGAGCGTGCATATATAGATCCTAAAATTTTCATACTTTCATAGTTATCACTCTGGACTTTAAGTACTTTTTCAAATGAGCTAGCCGCATTAGCTGAATCGTTACGAGTAAGATATAATTGGCCTAGACCAAAATGTGGTAAAACGTAATTACTATCGGCAAATTGAGTAGCTTGATAATAATATTTAAAAGCTTGATCGTAATCTTGCATCGAATGGAAAACTCTAGCTAGTTGATAGCAGCTTTCGGCTTGGATAGGTTCGACGTTCGTACTATGGAAAGCATGTAGAGCTAAATGCTGAACCTTATCATAATCCTTCTTGTAGAAGAAATGATTTGCAAGATGATTTAAAGCCATAGCGTTTGTTTGATCGATTGTATAAGCACGTGATAATAAATCGACTCCATTTCTGATGGAATCAGCCTAGATATTTAAAATCAAATCAATCTGTTAATATTTCAATAATATCACAGTATAAGGAAACAAAAATGAATACTAAAAAAATTTTAACACAACGTGCTACTTTTTCCTTTTAAAACTTTATGATATCATCAGTATAAAGGGTTTAAATCGGGATATATACCACTTTTGTGTTTAATTCTAAAACAGCCAAGGCAACCATTGCTCCGACACATTTAGGATCGAGCTGTAATGTTCTTTCAAATGCTTGTCTTAAGAATTATATTAATGACGTTCAGTCAACAACCTCCTTTTAGTATAAAAAAGTTAAGCAGATGGTACACTGTCTATATACCATAGTAATGATGCACCTATTTACAACCACATCAACCAAACAACTTGTTTTCCTTTACTATCTTACTATCATTTACGATATAACTCTTTTACTATTGACAACCTGGCTAAATCAAATTTATTCAATCTTGCATAGCAATGGCCAATTCCTAGACGAACATTTGCTGCAATTTCAAAGGTCAATTCTTAATTGATTAATGCAGTAACAATTTCGTTTGCTAACTCTAAAATTTTTACAATTGTAGCTGATCTAGTACCTGGACATGTCTTTGGTTTCAATCTCAAGACTTCTTTGTATAGGTTTAGAGCTTCATTGTAGTCTTTCCTATTAAATAGTATAGTAGCTTTGCCTGCACATAGAATTAGATATCGAGGTGAATTTGAAAATCTTTTTGATTAAAGTAAGGCATAAAATTCTGAGTATTCAGTGTATAATATTAAACTTTTCGAAATCTATCATTTTTACTTCACGACCTAGTAATGCTGGTGGGTTCTTTTTATTCAGCTATAAGGGATAGGAACATAATAAAAATTAGTCTAGTCCAGATGATTTAATTATGTGTTTTACAAGTAAATAGAAACAATAAGATAAATACGTGATGCATATTCACTCGGCGTATATGCTTAATAGTCATACTTGGGTTAAAACGAAATTAAACTGTGCTTCGGCCTGTTCAAATTTTCCATCAGCTAAATAAAACCACCCTCGGCTTACGAGATGGCCCTTTGGCAAAGTTTGTATAGGAATTTAATAATTTAGTTAATGGATTAAAAGAATTACAATATAAGGTTATCTACTGTATATTTCCGAAATGCATTGTTTGCAAACTGTGAGTCATTTTTACGCTTTTTTAAACTAGCAAATGAACGATTCAGTTTATATACGATATTAGTAGCTATCAATAACCTCGTGATGCATGATGATTTTATCGCCTTTACTAAACAGTAGGGCAGCCTACACAGGTAATCAAAGATTGCAATCATCTCATTAATACTATATAAAATTTAATTTAAAAAGGCCATTTTTTTAAGTTAGGATTTCAATGCTGTCATGCACCTTAGCAAAATGAATTAAGAAAATTAGCCCTTAAAAACTGGGCGAACTCGTATGGTTGCAGTATAAATACTAAACAAACCTTTCCAAAAAACTCTCTAGTAAGGTCTTTATTACTAGCTTTCTTGCCTAGTTCAACAAAATAATTTGCCAAGCTATCCAATGATGTCATCAAGTCTCGATCACTATCAGGATAGTCTACTACTGCCTCTGCCATTAGCCAAAAAATTAGTTAACGTATGGGATACATTTAATGCAATTATTAATATGTTTAACTTTGTTATTCGATATATTGATAAAGACGTGATGTTGCTGCATACTATTCCTTCAAAATTAGTAATAGCATTGAGACTTACCCTCAACAGCGGCTTCTAATACGGATAAAAATGCATCTTGCTGACCGTGCTTGTAGTATTGTTGCTAAAGGTATTCCCGTTGGATAACATTAATATACTGTATATATACGCGTCTAATTCACTTGCCGTTCAAGTATAAATTATAACTACACGTTATTATCTATGATAATAATAGCGGTAACAGATTTATATCAAGTAATGAGATCTGTGTGGCTAACACTATCAGAACGAGATGTAAATGGGCAATTGCCATCCAATGAATAACTCATACATACAGCAAGGATGTTCCATATACGCAATTGGGGCCGTTCTTCTCTTAAGATTGCCAACGATTCGTTACCATGAGGAAGCTGATTAAGGTCTAATTCAATGACCTATTCAATTTTTACAGATCGGAATAATATGTTTAAAAATGTAGTCTTACTAAACAAGTATACCGCACATAGATCAGTTGACGGAGATTATAGGCTTATTCTATATAATTGCAATGTATTTAATAAATACTATATATTCTTTATTTCGATTCTGATAGATTAACTATTATGGTTAAAACGAAATAACCCAAAATCTACTGCTGTAAAGTAAAACCGCATTAGAAGCTGCTATAGTAAGAATTACATTGTACTACCGACGCAGAAATGCGCGCACTATGGACGTACAATCAATCGGATATTATAAATACGTTGCATGTGCATTACAATATTTATAAAGTATGGCAATTGTATGTTGCTCTCACGTTTACGCACCATGAGCTGCAACAGATACGACTCGTATAGTTGAGCAAAATGGCTACAATTGCAAGATCAAGCTACATTAGGTTGGCAATTTAAAACTACAATAAATACTGGAACTCCATTACAATACACCTATATTGATATACTGTAAGATTACAGCCATATGGAGACATCTGAGCTGATATTTATCATTCTCATTTTGCACATACGAGTAATACTTTAAAGTTGATTAAAATGCATAGAGTGTAAAATAGCAATCAATACCTACAGTTAATAATTACAATAAGCTTCTTTGGCAGTTTTATGGCTATACCAACGTATACATATATTCGTATATGTGATATAATACATATACATATCATAGAAGCGTAATGAGCTAATATATGGAGACTTATTGCAATTTCTCTATTATTCTCATCTGGTTAAAATACATTCAGATACATAGAAAGTACAGTAACGTAATAATGAATACCTACAGTTGTAAATAACTTCCTTTCAAAGTTGGCTAAAGCTGCCTTTCCAAGGTTATGTCTAGTCCACAAACTATGATCAACGCGTATACGTGGAACAATTTTCTTAGTACATAGTGCCGTATTGAGATACATTATGTTGATTTTCTAAAGTGTGCTCATGAATCCCTACAGTTTGTCGACTAACTTTACACTAACGGTTGCTAAGGTAATGCTGCAGAATAGTTAATAATACACGGTTTCACTTTCGGATAAAAGAGAGAGTTTTCTTAACGCCACGTTGTTAGTTAGAAATTCGTATTTCACCAGGTATTTTTGATCTACAGTACTGTAATCGTACAAGTTGGCTAGTAATGGACGTGGATGATTTTGTGTTTGTAGATTGTAAACCTGTTGAACATCCATTACAATGTTTCTATAGGATACTCGTATACTCTTTCGTGGTTGGTACAGGATGATCAATCGATCAAGATACCGTAGATAGATCGATGGACGGGAAGTGAGAACGAAGGTCTACCATTATAAGAGAAAGCCACTTCCAAATTACTATGATGAATACATAGCTGTAGCTAAAGTATGGATCATTCTATACCGTTGACTGCATAGAATGTACTATGAACGAATTGAATTATAATTATTCTATAACTCTCCAAAATTGAATGACATCCAGTATCGGAAAATTTCAACCTTTTCTGATATATTTTATTCAATGCATCTCTAATACGTATACGATGCATTCACCGAGATAGAACATAAGTACAAACACCTCTACAATAATGAAAGAGCTAAATTACAGCAATCATTTACCTCATCTGAATCACGTAAGGGGATTTCAATGTAGTTGACGGCAGCCATTTTGGATTTTTATTTCGATCCAAGTAAGCGCTATTGATTCAATCGGTGATTGCGACAGCACGTGGTGCCACCAAAACTACGCAATAATTCCTTCTTCTTCTACCGTAGTTGATACAAGCCTGATCTATCAGAATAAACTGAAACGATAATATTAGAGCTTTCCTTTTCCTCGACAATCATAAATGGGGAAAAATTGGTGCAATTTCTCACTAGCTCCAAGCAGTTAATCATTCAATTTCATACCTGGCAACTTGACTTTTTGAGCTACTGCAATCAGGTGTGTATTCTGCCTACGCAACTGCGCATACTAAGTGGTGCTTACAGTACTATGACAGGACGGTACACCGTGTAATGGCTAAGTAGCTTCTGCTTGGTCCTCCATATTGGATTAAGTGTAAAAAAAAACTGATTATACAGTAATAATAATTAATTAATTATAATTATTGATCCAAAATGGTTGCAATGAAATTCCTTATTGCTTATACCGAACTAAATCAATTGTACCTAGGATTTGGCTCGCTTGATCCACTACTTTCTTTTACTGATCTGCTCTGTCTACCATTACTGTTGATTAAGTGTAAAAAAAAGTGAAAGTTGACCATTGAAAAATGAGGCAATAAAATGCCTTAAACTATTTGATCGACTTAGTCCATTTCTTTCATTTACTGGTCTGCTTTGTCTACCATTACAGTACAACAGATTGAAATACCTTATTGCTTATACCGAATCAAATCAATTGTACCTAGGATTTGGCTCGCTTGATCCACTACTTTCTTTTACTGGTCTGCTCTGTCTACCATGACCGTAGATTAAGTGTAAAAAGAAGTGAAAGTTGACCATTGAAAAATGAGGCAATAAAATGCCTTATACTATTTGATCGACTTAGTCCATTTCTTTCTTTTACTGGTCTGCTCTGTCTCTCATTAGATTAACAATAAAAAAAAAGTGACTGTAGACCATTGAAAATTGGGCAATAAAATGCCTTAAATTATTTGATAGACTTTGTCCATTTCTTTCATTGACGGGTCTGCTTTGTCTACCATTACAGTGCAACAGATTAACTGTAGATCATTGAAAAATTGGGCAATCAAATACCTTATACTATTTGATCTACTTAGTCCATTCCTTTCTTTACTGGTCCGTTTTGACTACCATTAGAATAACTAGAAAAGTGACTGTAGATCATTGAAAAATTGGGCAATAAAATGCCTTATACCATTTGGTCTACTTAATCCATTTCTTTCACTTACTGGCCCCTGCTCAATCTATTTTTGTATTTTACTGTAAAACAGTAGAACCTGCTTAGTTTACCATACTCTACCGGATTAACTATAAAAAAAGTTACATTATATTATTGATCCAAAAATTGTCTTTAGGATGAATAAATTCGATATTGAGCATTAAAATGCCTTCTACCGTTTGATTCACTTGGCCTACAATTGGATTGACTGTAAAAAATTGCAATAAAATGGCTTCTATCCCGGTGCAACAAAAGTGCTGGTTATGCTGTAGTAATTCCTATCAACGTTTTTGATTTCCCTACAAATCCTGTTTGCTGTCCATTTCTTTGATATGCGGTATCAGAAAACGCAGTTGTATTGGAAAGATTTCGAACCTTTTACCAAGGTATACGGATAATGTCTCACTCGTCATATTTTGCGTAGATGTGCTGTTTGGACTGCTAAATATACTGTACTATTATTATTAATCGATTTATAAGTTGAATGAGCTAGTATTCCGACAAATAAATACAAAAGCACTATACAAGTAAGACGGGATTCTGCTACTTGCAAATTATTATGAGCAAAGGAGCAAAAAGCTCAACGGTAGACTAGAGCAATCCGCCTAATATAATTTATTTAAAGTCGAATGGGCTAGTATTCCGATAATTAAATACAAAAGCACTATACAAGTAAGACGGGATTCTGTTAATTGTAAATTATTATGAGTAAAGGAGAAAAAAAAGCTCAACGGTAGACTGGAGTAATCCGCCTAAATTGTACGCGTATTACTAGATATTACTAACATAGGAGATTTCGTCAAAAGTCACCATGTAGCAATCTTTTTTAATAACAGTAAAATAATGCAATATATTGAAAAATCTTGCAATACCTTACTGTACTATGTATGATAAAAATATAACGACTATACACGGCTCTCATCAAGCTAAAAATGGAGATTTAATTCATTGAGTTGTAATGAAAACGGTGGCTAATGACAGACTAGCTTACACGGACCTTTTTAAATATTATAATAAATGCAGATTTTTATCTTAAGTTCATAGGCCTAACTTAATTAAGGTTTAGTAAACTTGTACAGAATAAGATATAGTCTGCAGCATTGCACCAGCATAGAAACTATTTATAACTTCAGTGCAATGATTAGTACAGTAAAGACTTCCTCTGCATGAGCAATGCACATGAAGTTCAACATGAAATGAAATGAAATTCTAATTGATCTTTTCTGCATGAGTCTTCTACTTACACTCCGCTACTATAGGGATTATGAAACTAAAAATGGAGATTTAAAGAGGTCTTTATTGCTTTGAAAATATTTAAGAGCGCCCATGATTCTACGTATTATACACTATGGACAAAATTCGGCAACATGGAGTATATCATACTCCATGTTGCCGAATTTGTACCATAGTGCTAATTATATGCTTAATTATGACATAGACTGTGACGCTAAAAATGGAGATTTAAAAAAAATCTTTACTATTAGTGAAGCATTTGTGAAGCTTAAATTGAAGATTGAAAGAGAATTTTTCTGTTGGTAAAATAATACGCGCAGACTATCAATAAATCATTATGATATGTATTATAAAATATCTATAGGTGCCAAATTTTATTGCGTATTTCAATTGAAGAGCTACATCAGATTGTAGATATAAATTACTCATTTTGTCAGACATTATAATATTGCGTAGCTCTATAAAAGTAATCAAGGTATGCTACAATCTTTAACAATACGTGCTACCATAATAGAAGGAAGATACGGAAAATATAGATCAGTAATAAGAGCAAATACATCAAGTTCACAAATGAATAAGAACTTTATAACGACAAAAGTGCACAATTTTTTACAGACAGTGATACAAGATTGAGTTTCATGCTTTTTACAAATATTTACCTCATAAAATTTAAGTTTTAAATACTATATATATATATATATATATATATATCGAATGTTTGCATTCTATTCCATTTAAAAGATACACGTATTTATTATTGCAATATTTACCAATATGGCTGCTGCTTACCACAACGCGACATTGATATTTGCGTATTTAGTGGGGGTTTCATTTAAAAATATCTAAAAACTAAGAAGTGGTCGATCCACGGCACAAAGCACAAGTTATCGCAGTCAAAGTTTACCTCGTATGTTGATGATATCATTCTTACTTATCGGTAGGTTTGATATCAATTCAAGCAATTTACCCATGAAAATTTAAAAATAAAAATACCCACTTTTCATGCAATGGATTTTTTACAGTCATGTAATATTCGCACGGCAATAGCTCATAACTTTTATTAGCCAATAATTCAAGATCGTCATGATGGATGAATGAACGATAGGATACTCTAGCATTCTAAGGTGATGTTATTGGACTTTGTGATCATATTAACCCTCATCCCTAAAGTAAATGCATTGCATAATATAACATTACCAACTTATCTTCAGTAATACGACTACAAATTAATATTAGCCGAAGGTATAAAGAAAATATTCGATATTTTATAATGATACTTACGAAGATGAGAATAATGCATTTGTAGTTGCCCTAAGAGATTTTCTAACAGATGGTGCTACATTTTCGTCTTCATCACCTAACAAGCTTGATTCATCCACCGTTTCTGCTATCATATTACGTTGCCTTCTCTTGGTAGACGTTTCCTTCGGTGGCGAAAAATCTACTTCATCATCATCTTCATCTTCTTCTTCAGAAAAACTTGCTTCCTTTTCATCCGAAAGATTAGATTTATCTGATTCCTCTCTATTTATTATATATACAGAAATAGGAAAAGATTTAGCACAACAATCTTCTTTCTAAGGTAAAATCTAAGGCAGCTATAATATCAACTTTTTAATTCATATCATTAACGTCATTAAAACTCACTCATCTTCACCAACAATATGTAACTGTCCGGAGTCATCAGCGTCAGAACTATCTGAGATATCCGAAATAATTTCTTTTGAAATAGCTTTACGTTTTTTTCTGGCAGACCTTTCCTTGACTGCAGCCGGTGCTTTACGTTTTCGCGGTCGTTTTTTGACTCGAACACCTTTGTCTTTCGCTTTTTTGCTATTATGAGCATAAAATAATATTAATCGCCTAAATACTTACACAAATAGATTAAAATTAAACTTAGAAGATACCGTTTAGGCTTAGGTTCAGTAACGTCTTCTTCACTCTGCTCTCCATCACTTATGAAATCGTCATCTTGTTTCTTTGATCAAGAGCAATAAAATTATTTAACGTTACATACAGTATCTGCATCGGACAACAGTTATATGAGCTCGAGCTACATTATCTAAAGTATTCATACCTTAGCTCGGCGACCCGAAATTTTCGCAGCACTAGAAGTATCCGCTTCAAAAACTAAGAGTTTCTTGGTCGCTTCAATAAATTGGCTACGTTTTTCATTAATGGACTTGTTCTTTACTTCCTCTTCTTTTTGGCGTTGTATCTATTTGAACATTTAAATTACTCTTGGCAACAAACTAGAATGTGGTTCACGGTAATCAAACCAACCTCTTCAGCCTTTCTTTTCTCTAGATAGGCTTGGTGTTCTTCCTCCTGCTTACGAATTAATTCAAGTTCTTCATCTTGCTTCTTCTTTGCCCTGGACACATGATACTTAGCCTGGCTTAATAGATCTACACATTGGCTGTGATACCAAGTAAAAGAAAGGATTTTCTTAATTACTGACACCAATATTAATTCTATACACTGTATTTATTATAAACTATACCGTGCTTCCAATTGAGCCTGATTAAGATCGAATTTCGATTTGTCTCCGACTTTACTCAAAAATGTAAAGTATCTGTAAATTTAAGAATCGTTAGCAATTACATTATGTAAGAATTATTTTTACTCAATGGCAGCACCTGTGAGCTAATTTTAGTTGATCAACAGCTTCTTGAACGTCCTTGAGGTTACTATTTTCATCTTTTAGAGAAACTGTTGCTATACGCTGTAAGACTAAGCAAACGTCAAACAAGAGTAGAGTTTCCTGCGGGGCAACGTGGCAGGCCTAAGGTTGTAATTAAATTTTAATCCATTATTTTTAAAAGCGTCAAAGGCTATTACAATTTCGAATCTATAGCAATTGCATTGTACAAACATGATCGAGCAATTGTTTATTACCTTAACAAGAGCACTTTTACAATTTTGTAATCTACCATCCTTAAAGAATACTCTAGCTAGATATAGCAGTACTTCCGTACTTTGATTCTTTCCGAACCTCTTGATACAGTTCTGATACTAAAAGAAATTACATCACATAGCTGGTTAAATTTTCGCAATACTAAAATGACACTAATTTTCATCTTCGTCACTATCAAACTCGATATAGCAATGCTAAATTATTGAGTACCATTTGAATTGCTGTCGAATATTGCTTCTGTTCAGTGTAAACATGAGCGAGATTTAGCCATACGTCGAACATGTCGGCAGTAGCTTCGCGGACCTATTAAAAGTACAGTAATACATTGTATGTTAACTTCAAAACTTTGTAAACTTATTAAATTACAAATCAATAATTCTATATTAATCTACCTGAGCAAAAATTTCTCGAGATTCTTGATGAAAACTACTCTGTGCTAATACGGCACCGATACCATTAGCGGCATAAATATTTCGTGGATCGAGTCGAATTACCTGCTTATATAGACTCAACGCGCGATCGCGATGACGTCTATTCTAGTATAATATAAAAAATAAGTAACATCAATATGGCTCTTATTAAAATACAGTAGGTATTAATATTTCATTACAACTCGCGATTTTTAAAACCTTGTCTGGGTCCTTTGTAGGTTGATATAATGTCTGTAACCATATATTTCCCATAGCTACAAGACCGTAAGTATCGTCTTTGTTTTGATTTAAAATACGCTCGTACTTTTTCTGGGCCGGACCCCATTCTTGCTTCATCATGTGTAAATTTCCAATTAAAGACCATGTATCTTTATGCTCCCTTTCTATAACAAGTGCTTCGGTGTACCAATCTGAAGCTTCATAAAAGTGACCCTTATCGCGAGCCATACATCCCAATCGAAGATAACAATCGATATAATTAGGATGATCTTTAAGGATTTGCTTATATAACTTTTCTGCTTCATCATGTTCACACAATGCTTCGTGTAAACGAGCGACGTTATATGTTATAGTAACTGATATAGTATTGAAATAAGATGAACCTTCGGTTGATTCGTTTGCTTCTAATTTAGCTCGTTCCAATGCGGCACTAAAGTTTTTCATAGCTTCTAATAGATTACCTAACTTGAAGTGTAACGCGGCTACATTGTTTAATATTTCTGGAGGTGTATCGGTTTCAAGAGTCTCTTGTAAAAGTCGTGAAGATGTACCATATGCTGAAAGTGCCCCTTGAATATCTGAACCTTCTAGTATACCTGCTAATTCAATCCAAGCTTCTATGTCGTCAGGATGTTGAGTGGTTGCTTTTTGTAATAAAATTTTAGCTCTTTCTCGCTTTTCTTCGTTATTAGAGCGTGCATATATAGATCCTAAAATTTTCATACTTTCATAGTTATCACTCTGGACTTTAAGTACTTTTTCAAATGAACTAGCTGCATTAGTTGGATCATTACGAGCAAGATATAATTGGCCAAGACCAAAATGTGGTAAAACGTAATTACTATCGGCAAATTGAGTAGCTTGATAATAATATTTAAAAGCTTGATCGTAATCTTGCATCGAATGGAAAACTCTAGCTAGTTGATAGCAGCTTTCGGCTTGGATAGGTTCGACGTTCGTACTATGGAAAGCATGTAGAGCTAAATGTTGAACTTTATTAAAATCTTTTTTATAGAAGAAATGGTTGGCTAGGTGATTCAACACCATAGCGTTTGTTTGATCGATTGTATAAGCACGTGATAATAAATCAACCCCATTCCTAATAGATTCAGCCTATAAAAAATTTTTAAATGTTAAGTGTAAATACTGCACATTTATGCATCATATCAAACTTATCATGTATATTATCGTTTCTAAATTTGTCATTACCGAAATTAGCAAATTCGAATTTGAATTAACCGTAAATAAAATAGAACTATTGCATTTACCCTGTTATTGTTCAGTTCCAAAACAGCTAAAGCAACCATCGCTCCAACACATCTAGGATCGAGTTGTAATGCTCTTTCGAATGCTCGCCTACGAAATTTTTTGTCAGTGAAAATATATAAAAGATAATAGCATTATTATAACGTTTATTGGTTATACTTTAGCAACTGTGCCACTTTATGTATATCTCATGAGATCAGTAAATGTGGTTAAAGACTCAGGCTTACCTTGCCAAGTTGAGTTTGTTTAGCTTTGCATAGCAATGTCCAATTCCTAGACGAACATCAGCTGTAAAGTTGATAATAAAGCGGGTGTTAAACATATCGATTGCATACAAAACAATACGGTATTCAAGTATCAAAAGTGATACACGTTAATACCTCGACATGTCTCCGGCTTTAATTTTAAAACTTCTTTATATAGGCTAAGAGCACCGTTATAATCCTTTCGACTGAAAAGTATACTAGCTTTGCCTATAGTAATAAAAATTTTTCCGGCATGCAAGTAAATTTAATAGACCATTTTTACAGTATAAATATGAAGGCATTCATATTATCCAGCATAACAATACCTAATAAGGCTGGAGGATTTTGCTTGTTTAACTGGAATAAGGGAAGGGTAATAATAACATAGTTTAATATATTGCACCGCTATTACTGCTTTTAGTAAGACATGGATGTAACCTAAAGACCAATAATATCAATATCATTACTATGCTATGAATTTACTTGCGTCAGAACGAAATTGAATTGTGTTTCAGCTTGTTCCAATTTTCCATCAGCCAGGTAAAAACATCCACGACTTACTAAATGCCCCTATTATTACACACATCTCATCAATCACGATTTTAATATCAATTAAAATAGAAACAAATAGAAACAATGAGATTATAGTGATAGATTGTGGAATTATTTCAATGACGCTGAATTCTAGCGATCGATGAATACGCAAATTATTTGCCGATGAGAAACAAGAAATAACCTCGTGATGCATGATAATTTTGTCGCCTTTACCAAACAATTGAGCGGCCTACACAAGTAATTTAACAGTAGATATTCATTTAGTAAATATAAGCGAAATTTTTAGTTTATGAATTCTGAGCCGCTTGTAGAAAAATTATAGCACTAATAACTATTGCCAAAAATGAATTTTTAATTAATCAAGATATACACTATACAGTGTAATGCAACCCAACCTTGGCAAAATAATCTCTCGTTAGATCTTTATTATTTGCTTTTTTGCCCAATTCTACGTAGTAGTTGGCTAAACTATCTAAAGTTGTCATCAAGTCTTTATCGCTATCGTCGTAGCTCATTGTCGCTTCTGCCATTTATGAACGTATCATTAATCCATACTATTACAAACACAAGGAGACAAAGAGCATTTACAGTATAACACAGCAATTTACTAACCTGTCGTAGCAGTTTCCAACATAGACAAGAAAGCATCTTGCTCTCCTAGTTTGTAATACTGTTGCTGCACAAATGCAATGATAAACAAAAGAGGATTTAATCTTGTAAACAAGTAAGGTAAGGAGGAAAACGTTTCACAACAAATTGCTGAGAATACAGTACGTCAATTGCATGAAGAATCAACGAAAACTTGTAAAAAAAAGTTACTCAATTATGGGTAGGATAAGATCAATGTTGTCGTATATCACCATTCGATCAACTAAATCAATCCTACTTACAGCTAGAACATTCCATATACGAAGTTGGGGTCTTTCTTCTTTCAGGATTGCGAGGCATTCACCACCATCAGGAAGTTGATCGAAATCCAATTCGATTACCTATCATGGGGAGTTGTACAGTATGTAACCGGTTGAATGACATTGTCTATGTTTTAAATAAACTCCAGCTACAAAATGAGGACTTTAATCCGTGCATTGCAAAAGATAGCTTTCTATTAGTACACAATCAATCTAGTATAGTGTAAATAAGCAATTCAAAACTGATGTTTAGACTAGTTTAGACTATGCTAATTTTGATGACTGAAACCGCATTACTGCGTTGATACAATATGCATCCATTCGTGTTGACTACATTCTCAAACATTAGAATAACGGAATCGTATTCTGTCGTTCTTGTTACTGCTACGACTAATAGCATTGGCATGAAAGACAGATCGAAGAATAAAAGGTAAAATCGAGGTCGTTGGAATCATAATTAAGCAAAATTACTCGTTTACCTCATCGGAATCGTGTAAAGGAATCTCAACAGAAGTCGTTCCAGCCATTTTGATTTTTAGAGGTAGAATTATCGCGCATGCGTAACCACCGTACCTTTCAGTCAATGTTCCTAGGAGAGGGAAAATCTTTTTAGTGGAGTACTGTACACTGTAGTCCCTGACTGTAGTCTCTCATATTATACTGTAAAGGATGGTCGTTTTACCTATACTGAGTGAATAACGATTTGAGCGGTATACGCATACTGTGCTGTACAGTATGCGGAAGAGACCCGGTACAGTATTGAGTACAGTACCATCAAACTGGACCATACTGTACACTGTACAGTAGAGTTAAGTTTCTTAACTGTATGGAATGGACACGGTGCGGATGGACAGACTCCTTCTTCCAAATGAGGCCGAAATCTCATCATCGGACTGGACCATACAGTACTGTACTGTACTGTACACTGTACAGTATAGTACTGTAGAGTTAAGTCTCTGTATGGCATGGACACGGTGCGGATGGACAGACGCTTTCTTCCAAATGAGGCCGAAATCTCATCATCGGACTGGGCCATACTGTACACTGTACAGTATTACAGAGTTAAGTCTCTTAACTGTATGGCATGGACACGGTGCGGACGGACAGACTCTTTCTTCCAAATGAGGCCGAAATCTCCCCAAATCAGTAATTTACTTAGTATAGATCTTCAGTATCTATTTTTCTTAATTACTTCTATTAATTCAACAATATTTATGACCTGATATGACTGCTTTCAAGTAGAACTTAGTAAATTAGAATAGATTTCAATGTAATATTACTTAATTTACAAAAATGAACAAATTACAAAATCGAATATCCTCTCGATAACATTATTATAGCGAATAGAAGTGTTTGGAACAGTATTCCAGTATCCAAGATGAAGGATAGTATCCACTGTCCACAGTAACCAGCAAGGGTCCTTTGTCGGGCAATTACAAAATTGGGCGAATTGTCCGCTACCTTGCTCAGTTAACGGTGATCAAAAAATGCCAAATTAAGGACCCTGGTGTCCAGTTCAGATACGATCTCCTTGCTACTGTATTTCGCAAGGTACCGGTTTCTAGGGCTGCTTGAATCAGCCTGTTATGGGAACTTGTGGCCATTTGCATTATGTGACTATCGCTTCTTCGACCGTAGTAATTTAGCATGATGGTCAACGTGATGCTTTTATGTATACATGTAAAATCAAATTAAATCAATGATGACTATTTATACCCGATAAATTTGGCTGCCTACTGTAGTAATGGTAATAGTCAATAAAAAAAAAGAATTTGCATAGGCAGTTATGCACGTATACGCGTATGTGGGAAGAATATGTAAACTGAATGTGCGCGTAAAGACCAGCGTTGCCATGTTACCATAACGGTCATCGGGTAGAATTCTGTGTTGTGCAACGATTTAAAAGCTCTATTTGCTGTTTGACCGTGTACAGTAGTAGCTAACGCTTATAGAACTCTACAAGTTTATATCATGCAACGATTTAAAAGTTCCTTTTTACTGTATTGTTTGACGATCTATTGCAGGAGCTAATGCATAGGGTATATTGGTCTATGGACTGCTAATCCTGTAGCATTTAGAGGCGATGCATAATTCGTAGAACTCTACAATTCTGTATCGTATAAGGATTCAAGAGCTCCTTTTTACTGCTTGACGATATATTGTAGTAGCTAATGCATAGAGTATATTGGTTCATGGACTGCTGATCCTGTAGGATTTAGAGGTAGTGCATGATTCGTAGAACTCTACGACTCTGCATCGCGCAATGATTCAAAAAACTTCCTTTTACACTACTCTTTGACCATATACTGTACAGTCATGGACTACTAAAAGAAAACCTTTTCTCTTAGTAGTTTATGGTACAGTATACGGTATAAACCTTTTTATGGAGTAGTCCCTGCTACTACTGTACACCTTACAATTACAGCAATGCATCATCGTTCATGATACTGTATTATAACAACTTGACAACCTTTTTGGAAGAATGCA